AAAATTTATTTATCAATATCTGGAAACGATACAAAGTTTACTTACTTATTTAGTTTGTGAACACACACTTTTTTATGTCCAACGTTTTCATTAAAATATTTAAACGTAGCATTCTCTTGTTGTGAAATAAATTTTTGATATACATATATTTTTACTGTAACTTCACATAATATAACATTAGTTATGAGTATAAGTGGTCGGTTGCGTTTTAAATGTAAAATATGAAGCCTAAATTACTACTTTTTTTTTGGGCTTTGATTGGTTGACGAGCTCACAGCCCACCTGGTGTTAAATGATTACTGGAACCCATAGACATCCACAACGTAAATGCGCCACCCACCTTGAGATATAAGTTCTAAGATCTTAGTATAGTTACTACGGCTGCAACACCCTTCAAATCGAAACGCATTACTGCTCCACGGTAGAAATAGGCGGGGTGGTGGTACCTACCCGTGCGGACCCACAAGAGGTCCTACTACCAGTAATTACGCAAATTATAATTTTGCGACTTTGATTTTTATTACTTTACACGAGCATACTATTACACGATGTTATTCCTTCATCGTGGAAGTCAATCGTGAAAATTTGCTAAGTACGTATTTCATTAGAAAAATTGGTACCCGCCTGCGGGATTCGAGCACTGGTACATCGCTAGATACGAATGCACCGGACGTCTTATCCTTTAGGCCACGACGTCTTTAGACTAATTTTACTTTAAGACTTATGTGTTTTCCAACAAAGATTTTTTATATATATATTGATGTGTATGTATGAACTTAGAATTGCAATCAGTTGCAACTAGTAAATATCAGAATCTTATGTCGCATTATTTTCTTATAGTTACATATTTAAGGTAGCTACATTTTGTACAGCGGCTTTTTTACACAGCCGAAATAATTAAATGCTTTGAAGTTGGAATTAAATATATATATGAAAACTGTAATGTGATCACGATTCATAATCTCATTAAGATAATTCAGTTCAATTAAAAAATGTAGGTCACTCATCATCATTATCCTGCCCTTCTCCCAGTTACTTGGGGTCGGCGCAACATGTTTTTTCCTTCCATACTCTTCTATCATATACCACTTCTTCGCTCACTCCCCTCTTACCCATATCGTGTTTCACGCAATTCATCCATTTTTTCTTAGGTCTACCTCTTCCTCTATATCCTTCCACATTCATAGTTAGCATTTTCTTACCAACCTCATTTTCATCTCGTCTCATCACATGTCCATAGCGTCCCAAACGCGCACTCCTCAGCTTCTCTGTCACAGGTGCCACTTTCAGATTTCCTCTAACATATTCATTCCGTATTCTATCCATTCTCGTTACTCCACACATCCATCGCAACATTCGCATATCTGCTGCATGCAATCGCCTACAATAGGTCTCTACAATAACAAAATCATGTTACTTAGATGAATAGTCGAGCTTATGGTTCACTTATTGTTAAGTGAATGACGAAACGCTTGAATATCACCGCGTGAATTCCATACCCGTCTTACTAGTGATGTTGGCGACAGCGGCGTCGCCCCATAAAAATAGAATAATCTCAATAGGATTTGTAATAGATTTATATAGATACGTCTATAGACATAGACATAGAGTTATAACAAATAGATCACTATATAGTATAAAACAAAGTCGGTTTCTCTGTCCCTATATTCCTATGTATGCTTAAATCTTTATAACTACGCAACGGATTTTGATGCAGTTTTTTTTAATAGATGAAGTGATTAAAGAGGAAGGTTTATATGTACAATAATATCCATTAAATAGTGGAGAAATCAATAATAAATTACAGTTTCCGAAGCGAAGCGAGGGCAGGTCGTTAGTAAATAATAAATGGATAAATAAATAGAGTGCATGGAGATATAGACAGATAAGGATATTGATATAGTGCACATAGATTTACCATAGAATAGAACGTGCCATGGCTGTTCCTTGCCTTGAAACTGGAACGCAAGGCTGCTTGGCGCAGATATCGTCAGGACGGCATTACCGACCCATGCGGGCTTACAACGCGTCCTATTCTCTGTGATTATTACATTATTAGATGTTATTCCTACAACAGTAAATACGTACCAAGTGTGCATCTTATCAGAAATTCTGATCAACGTCCTCGTCGCACCCGTCGCTGGCGACGAAGGGCTCGACGAGCGAATTAACCCGTAGACACAGCCCACTGAGTTTCTCGTCGGATCTACTCAGTGGGTCGCGTTTCCGGTCCGGTGGTAGATTCTGCGAATCACTGCCCTTTGTGGAGTGTGTTACGGAGTGTTGCTAACACTGACCCTAAGTCAGTGTTAGCAACACTCCGGTTTGAGCCCCGTAAGCTCACCTACACACGTTAGGGTGAAGCTGAAATAGCCTTGAGAGGCTATCATCATAAAATGAAAAAAAAAAGACAGAAATATTAGTACTCATTTGCGGGGTGCTCGTACCGACAATCGTATCGCTTGATACGGGTACGCCGAGCGTCCTATCCTTTTGGCCATGACAATTTCAAACACACATGCACATGCGATAAGAACATATGCGATAGTTTAGATAAACAGCGACGCCACCATATATAAAAATATAACGTTATTAAGGACCAAAATAAATGTACGATTGGTAAGAACGGAATCTATGAAGAGAGTGTGGAACGGAGTGTTAAGATGTGAGTGAGAGAAAACGGTATGAAAGGAATAAGAGAATGACAGACAGAATGAGAGAGAAAAGGAAGATGGCGAAGGCGATTGAAGAGCAAGGCGTATAAAAGGTAATACATACTTTTAATTAATATAATACAAAAGATTTGACAAGATAACAATAAAAGTGCAACAATGGAATAACTTTATTTTATGTGCCACGATCCCAATTCCACATAAATGACTAGAAAACTAGAGAATGATGCGCCATCATAATTTCATGTGGATTTCGGTAACGGCTACAAATACAAAATTCTTATAGAAGATGAACGAAAACCCAACGATTAACCACATATGAAACGATTATGATTTATATTAAGTAGTGCTATAATTATTTGATTTAACGATTTAAAAAATCTTCTATCTTTCAGACCACAGATGTCCAATGCTGAACATAGGTCTCCCCAAACCACGCCACAACGAGGTCCTGCGCTGCGTCTTAAAATATTACTAGAAGTCGCCCAGTACTCGAAATTCGACTATAATTAAAAGAAATTATAAATTTGAACATTAATATGGTTCTATTGTCAAAGGCTATACTTTTAGAATCACAGATTTCACCAAGGCTACACTATAGTTAATTAATATTAATGACAAACAATATTAATTTTTTTTTTAAGGGATTTTATGACCTAGTAACTAAAACCTTTAGGTCAAGTCTTGTTTTAATTTTAATGATAACTTTTTTGTATGAAAATGTTATTATGAAATGAAATGAAGTTGATTATTATGAAACATGGCATGAAATAAAATGAAAACGAAATGAAATGAAATGAGATGAGATGATATGGGGTGAAGTATAACATAATCTCAATAAAATGTGAGACTATTGGACTTTTCCCGATCCCGAGAAGCTACGTTCAGCGGCTTTGTTTCATTTTCTCACATTTGTGCACTTTCACAGATACTAAACAGTTAATAAACCACCGTTATTACACATTTAAACCTGAAGAAACACTAATTAGACAAAATAAAACAAATCACACAACTTCACACCTCGCGTTCACGCAAAAAGTCCCCAATATTAATCTATTATTTGACCATACACTTTAAACAATAACAAAAGTTTGAAAATAAACACAAGAATATATGCGTGTGTGTGTAACGTTTTTTTATTGATTTAGTGTATTTTTTAGGCATAATTTAAAAAAAAATAGCATTCTGTACTCCTTCTGTATATTCTCTATAACAGCCTGGCCACGGGACATTCGCCGATGCGAATATTCGCGCGGTGCGAACGGCGAAGCGTCTAGCGACTAAAACAAGCGCATAGAAATGTACCTAACAAGCCACGCGCACCGGCGACCGGCGAAGCGACCGGCGAAATGTACCGAGCGAATCGCGCGATGCGGCGGGCGAGCAAAACAAATGCATGAATACGGACGGCGCGAGCCACGGAGTCGAGCGGTAGTCGCGGCGAATAGTGCAGTGATTAAATGAGTTTAGTTGTTTTCGCCGCGAAAAATTAACGCCGAAATTTTTATATTTTTTATTTATTTTTTATTTTATATTTTTAAAGTCGTCGTGGCCTAACGGACGTCCGGTGCAATCGTGTTGAGCGATGCACCGGTGTTCGAATATCAGGCGGGTACCAATTTTTGTAATGAAATACGTACTCAACAACACTCAACGTTCACGATTGATTTCCACGGTGAAGGAATAACATCGTGTGATAAAAATGAAATCTTCAAAATAATAATTTGCGTAATTACTGGTGGTAGGACCTCTTGTGAGTCTACACGGGTGGGTACTACCACCCTGCCTATTTCTGCCGTGAAGTAGTAATGCGTTTCGGTTTGAAGGGTGAGGCAGCCATTATAACTATACTTGAGACCTTAGAACTTATATCTCAAGGTGGGTGGCGCATTTACGTTGTGGATGTCTATGGGCTCCAGTAACCACTTAACACAAGGTGGGCTGTGAGCTCGTCCACCCATCTAAGCAATAAAAAAATAAAATAGCTGAAATACTAGCTAGACCAGCTATTTGGAAGTCTAGCCACCCAAAGTATTTCTCGTACTTCTTGTGGAATTCTCCATCTATAGGTATACTCCGATTCTTATTCAAATCATGTACTTCACAATCTTTTCCAAATAATAGGTCCTGAACCAAAAAACTATTAATTTGTAAGCAATATCGAGATAATTTCGATATAGACATTTCGCTGTCGGACTTCCTTACTAGTCGCGGCGGCGAACGTGAGTACCCGTGGCCTGCAAACGGTGCTGCGCGAATGGTCGCCTCGCCCACCGCTTCGCTGTTCGCCCCGCCGATCCCCGTGGCCAGGCGCTAAGTGTGGGAAGTTTTATTATCCCCTGTCCACGCAACTTTCGCAAAAAGGGGTAAAAAGTTTTTGCTTCACGTATTTCCATCCATAATCCATAAAATATTATTCACTGAAATTATATAAAAGCTGGAATTTGTATCATTATCGTCTTCAGTACTATTAGCCCCTTAGCGAAATTCAACAATATTTACTGACACCTTATGATTTACATTACAATACAACAATAATTAAAATTGTCTTATAAGGGTTGGGAGAAAAGTCATCGATTTTGTTTTGGTAATTGTATATTCTCGATTAATGCAAGCAGCGTAGGTTTCATTACGCAGGATATTGTTCTGAGTTCTACATTGTATAGAATTTGTCGTACAAAAACATAATCTCTAATCTAATCTGAAAACTTTAATGGATTTCATACCCGATCTGATACACGTTCGGATAACATATAGTCGCTGTCGCCGAAAACATGTCATTTCGGATCCTACCAATTCACTCTCGTTGCTTTTAGGCATTCCAAGCACCGTTGTCGACGAATAAAAATATTTAATGTGCAACTTAACCCACAAACACAACACAACCCACAATCTTGTCAATCTGTCAAATCAAAGTATTCCAGAGCAAAATATCATAAAGGAATCTCTGAATAAACATTTAACATATTATTTGTGATTTCATAGATAGATGCATCGTTTCTTTTCTTAGCACTGACATATTATGAGGTCGATCTATTGTACAATATAAGATCTTTTACTAAAATAAAGCTTTTAAAATTAACAGATGCTTTAATTTATTCGTCTAGTTGTTTGTCTGTTCAACTTGTAGTTTGAGGGCTTCAATTTGTCAATCTTCTTCCACACATCATCTAGCAAATATCAATAGAGCATTTCCGCATCAAACTATACTAGTACATACGAAACATTACCGTGCACCTACTAGGATAGATTGTTCTTATTATTATCTTAATCTCTGTATTATTATTGTTATTATCTTCATCTTATTCTATCGTGCATATTTATAGTCTTAAATTATAGACTCGGTACTGGGCCGGTGCTTTGCCTTCAATGTTTCGTGATGCTTTTGCGGCGTCTACAGTTGCACAAAATTCACAAGAAATTCACAAAAACTACACGACTTACATGAACTTTGAATTTGAACGATGACAACTTCTCATTGATTCGGGATTATAAATTGACGTATTAATTTGCCTAAACAAATGTTTGGTAAACGTTTGCTATAGATAAAAAATACGTTATAGTCATTTATTTCGTAGATTTGAATGGTTTTGATAAAAACATTAACAGTATAAGCTTTCGTTTGCCGTTAATTGGACAATAGTGTCGAATATAATTATAGTAAGGACCGATCAAAAATCCTTTACGATCTGTTATTATGATCAAGATTCACTTTAACTCCATATCTTTATAGTAAAAATATGCTTAAAACGAACTAATATTAAAAGTAGTGGCACATTTAGTTTTCACTTTCGATCATTGCATAGATTTGCGTACAAGTTTTGTGTTTGAAACGTCCGCTGTGATCAAAATGCTTCAATTTTTTTAAGGCATTATACAGGTTGATTCCCGGACTGACTGTTTCACGGATATCACAAGCACCAACAATATAGTAATCGGGATGTAGGAAACCCCTTCTTACGCCGTCGTCAAGTAACATCTGTGTTCTATTAATCTGAAGATCTGTGGCTTCCAGCTCGCGGTAATCACCTGTAATAATAATAAAAACATTTAATTGAATTTTTTATACGACCGTTTTCACTCTGCAAATGAAACAGCTCATTGAAATAGAAGACTTTTCGACATTGAGTTTTCTCATCAAGTTCAGATTAAGGCCACTATTTCGAACGATTTATTTTCCGCGTAAGACCTACTAATTAAATATATAACCGGGAGTGCGCACATTTATAAATACTTAAAATTTAGTATGATTATATTTTTTAAATCATTTATAGATATAATTTAAAAAAAATGTACTGAAATATTTTAAAATAACGAAATCCAATTCAACGTGTACATTTCGTAGAGTATACATAATTACATTCACAAGTTATTAAGCCAATAAATAGTTTTCAGCTTAGAGAAAAAAAAATGAATCAGGAATCTGTGGATCGCACCGGTGTTTTCCCTTGAGGTACTATATCCCGAGTATCTGATTTGTGGAAAAGTCGTGTACGATTTGTGTGTTACATAAAATATAACTATAATTTATCGTACGCGCCTTTTCAGTATAGTCGTATTATTATTATTATTTTTTTCGGAAAGGTAACCTTTTCTTAGCACTTTGGCTAGTCTGAATCACATCCACGGGCCTAAACCAAGTGAATGCAGCGTGTAGTGAGGAAAATTTATGTTGACTGTATGTTATTATGAGGGGCAATTTCGTTTTCGTCTATCTGCAAGAATTTTCTGACTATTCTACATGTATTCAAGATAGCGGCTTTTTGTAGAGTTATGTAGAGGGTTTTTAGAGGCTTTCTTTGAGGTCTAATAGTTTTAGGCTATGGAGAAGACGGTTGGGAATAACGCTTGTTGTGGAGAGAACTATGGTTACCATGTATACTTTTTCCTGTCGCCAAATTCTGCTCACTTCATCTTTGAGTTCTGAGTGAGCTTATATTTTCAGTTATTGTTTTTTGTATGTTCTGTGTATTAGAAACAGCAATGTCAATAAGGTAAGTGATTTTGTTAATTTTGTCCTGTACGGTGATATCTGGTCTATTATAATGAATTGCCTTATCGGTGAGAATGGCGCGGTCGTAGTAGAGCTTGTGTGTAGTATCTTCTAGAATGGTTTGTGGAGTATACCTATTATTATTAGAAATCACAAGAATTAATATTTTGAAAACAACCTGCTTATTCTAACTTATACAGGTGTCTTAATATAAATTAGACCTACATCGAACATTTATACACCTACCGAACAGTATGTAGGTGGAATGCATTTCGATCTAAAATACTTTATTGACCCACATACACCCCCGAATCTTCATATCTCGTTGAACATAACAGTAAAAATTATATTAGATTAAGCAAAAATAATATTTATTGCCCGAATAAAATTAGTTCGAATAAATTAACTTCTTACCTATAAAAGCCACACCGACCGAACAGCTATTATAAGATAAAGTATGTGCTCCCATAATGCCCCAACCGCGTCCTTCATAAACTCTATTGTCGTTGCCAATTATGAAATTGTAACTGAAATCAGCATATTTTTCATTGATTTTAATTAATTAATTTTGTTATCTCCGCGCGAAGCTTGAATAGTTCTTTAGGCTACGAACGAATAGTAAATAGGGAAATAATATATTTAAAACTTAAGTTATTGATGTGTGCGCTTGTGCACTTATAAACGGTTATTACAACAAATGGTTGACTTAATCCGGTGATTTGGGAATAATTGTTTTATATAAATTACACATTTTTACTGTTGATAGGGCATTTCGTGAACTCACACGCGTAGGTCCCACTACCCTGCCCATTCCTGCTGTGATGCAGTAATGCATTTCAGCTCGAGCCGCTGTACTATAAAACCAAAACTTTGAACTTATCTATGTCTCAAGGTGTGTGGCGGCATTTATGTTGTTGATGTCTATGGGCTACGATAAACACTAAACACCAGGTGGGTCGTGAGCACGTCCGCCTTTCTAAGCAAAAAAAATAATAAAATTTATTATAAATGAAAAGGAAATTAAAGTAAAGCGCTTTGGATTCGTGTATTAGAGCTGCTCCGTTGATTGTTTCTCGTTGGTCCGATCAAATTAGGACGACATGGGACTTTGGAGTATCCATGTCGTCTCCAACTGATGTTGGGATCAGTGACGCTATCCACTGCACAGAGGACAGGAATGATTGGAGTATCAGAATCCAAACAAAAGCGCTTCATAAAGGTCGCGACCCTCAGCCTTGAGAATCACGATGCAAAGAGTTGGAAGACTTCTTTATTATTAAAACGTGAATAGACTGACAAAGCTGCATCCCTAGCTTTATGAAAGGTGATTTTTTACCTTTTTAAACTCAATTGAACTGATACTTTTGAATGATAAAACGTGCGCCCCTGAGCTGACGCCCGCGCTAACGCGTTTGTATCGCCTCTCTTATTGCACTAACAGGGTTCCGTCTTCATGGAAGACCGCCCACGTCCACCCTATCCCCAAGAAGGGTGACCGGTCGGACCCATCGAGTTATAGGCCTATCGCGATAACTTCCTTGCTTTCCAAGGTGATGGAGCGAATAATAAATATACAACTCCTGAAGTATCTGGAGGATCGCCAGCTGATCAGTGACCGACAGTACGGTTTCCGTCACGGTCGCTCAGCTGGCGATCTTCTTGTATACCTTACTCACAGGTGGGCTGAAGCCTTGGAGAGCAAGGGCGAGGCTCTTGCTGTGAGCCTTGATATCGCGAAGGCCTTCGACAGGGTCTGGCATAGGGCACTTCTGTCGAAGCTACCATCTTACGGAATCCCCGAGGGTCTCTGCAAGTGGATCGCTAGCTTTTTGGATGGGCGGAGCATCACGGTCGTTGTAGACGGTGACTGTTCTGATACCATGACCATTAACGCTGGCGTTCCACAAGGTTCGGTGCTCTCCCCCACGCTTTTCATCCTGTATATCAATGACATGCTGTCTATTGATGGCATGCATTGCTATGCGGATGACAGCACGGGGGATGCGCGATATATCGGCCATCAGAGTCTCTCTCGGAGCGTGGTGCAAGAGAGACGATCAAAACTTGTGTCTGAAGTGGAGAACTCTCTGGGGCGAGTCTCCAAATGGGGTGAATTGAACTTGGTTCAATTCAACCCGTTAAAGACACAAGTTTGCGCGTTCACTGCGAAGAAGGACCCCTTTGTCATGGCGCCGCAATTCCAAGGAGTATCCCTGCAACCTTCCGAGAGTATTGGGATACTTGGGGTCGACATTTCGAGCGATGTCCAGTTTCGGAGTCATTTGGAAGGCAAAGCCAAGTTGGCGTCCAAAATGCTGGGAGTCCTCAACAGAGCGAAGCGGTACTTCACGCCTGGACAAAGGCTTTTGCTTTATAAAGCACAAGTCCGGCCTCGCGTGGAGTACTGCTCCCATCTCTGGGCCGGGGCTCCCAAATACCAGCTTCTTCCATTTGACTCCATACAGAGGAGGGCCGTTCGGATTGTCGATAATCCCATTCTCACGGATCGTTTGGAGCCTCTGGGTCTGCGGAGGGACTTCGGTTCCCTCTGTATTTTGTACCGTATGTTCCATGGGGAGTGCTCTGAGGAATTGTTCGAGATGATACCGGCATCTCGTTTTTACCATCGCACCGCCCGCCACCGGAGTAGAGTTCATCCATACTACCTGGAGCCACTGCGGTCATCCACAGTGCGTTTCCAGAGGTCTTTTTTGCCACGTACCATCCGGCTATGGAATGAGCTCCCCTCCACGGTGTTTCCCGAACGCTATGACATGTCCTTCTTCAAACGAGGCTTGTGGAGAGTATTAAGCAGTAGGCAGCGGCTTGGCTCTGCTCCTGGCATTGCTGAAGTCCATGGGCGACGGTAACCACTTACCATCAGGTGGGCCGTATGCTCGTCTGCCTACAAAGGCAATAAAAAAAAAAAAAAAAAAACTTACGGAATGTCATATTTTTGTTTTTCCAAATAAAACGTTTGGATGATCCGGACTTCGGCCGCACACGTGATAAAGTTGGAGCATTTCGCGCTCACCGTGTGTTGGACGATGACCAGTCGCAACGGCACAAACTGTGTAATTGCTTCTGACCCATTGTACTTCTTGGCCAGCCACATATCTCTAGAGATGTTCCATGGGTGAGGTGCTGTGGAATGAAGGACTTAATATAAACTAGTGGTCGCGCAGTAGTCCAAATTCGATTATAATTAATTGAAATTATAATTTTGAACATTATTATGATTCTATTCAAGTCAAATTCTATAATCACAGATCTCGCCAAGACTAAGCTTTAGGCAAATATTAATAAAGACAAACAATATTTAAACTATTCTCAATTCGACCACAGACTATAAGCAATAAGAAAAGTTTGACATTATACAAACAGTATGCATGCGTGTGTGTGTGTGTGTGTCAAATACATGATAGTGTGTGTGTAATGTTTTTCTATTGATTTATTGTATTTTTTATCAATAATTAAAAAAAATGAGCATTCCGCACTTTTTCTCAATGTTTTCTATAAGTGTGGGAAATTTCATACTGCTCCGTCCGCGCAATTTTCGTAAAAAGGGGACAAAGTTTTTGCTTCACGTATTAATACATATACTAATTATAATATAACTACACTCGTAGAGTAGCACTTCTCTGGTCTTGAACGCAACCGCAGTCTATTGCTTTAGTTATAATTAGTATATGTACCGATAAGCGTTTGCAGATCTTATCACCAGTGAACGGACTTTATGATAAGTACTGAAAAATATTCATACAGCTACGTCAAACTTAATTATGATCGTATTTTTCGGTAAAAATATGAATTATATTTTATAAATCTGCAAGTAAAAATCGGTAATAAAATAGGCAAATCTTGTTTATGTCAAATGCGAAAAATAATAAGTTTCAGGTTAATAAGTTTAGTCCACTTAGCGTTAGTTATTTTTAAACAAATATGAAGCGTTTTGAGGTTAGTTTTTACGCGAATTATCACTAATGACTAAACGCTCCGGTCTGTCCTTGTGCTCTTATCAGTTCTGTACAAAAACAAATATTTGCTATTAATAAAATGAATTGTAAGTGTTTTAACATTAATAGCTGTAGCATTTGAATACATTTTCATTGTGTGGAGCGAATTTTTAGAACAATAACTTATATGTATTTAACTAACTCTCCGTCCGTAGGCGTCAACCGTGTGACGTACGCCTTACATCGTGTAGGCAGAGTTGTTCGTACTCAGCAGTAAGATGAAAGAAAGCTTCATACAGGGCTAAAGGATTTTCATATTTCATCACAATTCGTCAACACTAGTGACGTAAAAAGCTTTAGGTATCAATTGCTTTAGGTATCAATTATAATGTCAAATCAAATCAAATCAAAAATCTGTTATGACAATTTTTACAAAAATGTCCTACATCTTGAAGCAATTGTAGGAGTTGTAGTAGGTAGCTATTACAGAACACAAAATATTTGCCTGAATCTTACTAATGACGTTTTCAGGATAAGTTTGCGTATATACAAGTTCAGAATAAAACGTTTGGACCGTGTGTTTATTGAGGAATTTCACTCAGTCGGTGAAAAACTCTGGGCTTACTGTCGTACTTTCTATAACGTGCTAAATTGTGTTTTCTGACAGCAAATTATTCGAACCATAACCATTAACCATTTGATTTAAATTAGTATTTGTTTGGGTTTTCCCCGAATCGTGGACATTAATTTTTATTGTCATTATATTGTTTTCTAAGTTTTGAAACTATACAATTTTCGTGGTTCACGGACGACTCAAACGCTTTAAATTGCTGGCGTTGTTCTAAGTATATTAATGAATCATTTACTGTATGATCTCATGTATATGCGCGTGTGATCGCTTAACATGAGGTGGGCCAAAAGTTTGTCTACATTGTAAAATACACTTACCAACATCGTCGTCAGTGGTCGCCTTGGCTGACAGTGTGAAGTAAAGTGTCAACGCTATACATATGATTAAAGCTGAAACAGCAGCAGCACATAGCGATCTTTCCACTCTACTTGTATTCTTCAACACTTTCCATATGAAGCGCGGCAGTGGAAGTTCTGGAAAAAAAATTAATTTCACTTTATTAAAATAAATTTGTCATCCTCTAGATTTAACTTGGTATACCGAATGGGGTGGACAGTAGCGCATTAAATTCAAACATGCCTTGCACTAATGAGCCCTCGGATATATAATGAAATAATAAGCTAAGACACAGAATTATCCTCATATGCGTAAGAGAGTAAAATAAGTTATTTCAAATATCATAATATTCTTGTGTGTAAAGAAAAACCTTCATTATTTCAAACTCTTTAGTTTTTAAAAAGGATTTTTCTTCAGTGTCGTTCATTAAAGTCTGTCATTTAGTAAAAAAGAAACTTCGGTTTGTTTAAAATATTAATTTTAAAAGAGATTAAGGGCTCTTAATGTTGTTTTGTTATTGTATCGCAGAAAACACAATAAGTATTTTATTGTTTATTCATTCTGAAATACTTCATATCATTTTATTTGTGTATTATTTGAATGTGTTTTATTGTTTTGTTTCGGTGCTGCTTTAAAACGTTACAGCACAGATCTTAAAGGCTAGATATGTATACTTTAAAATTAAAAAAAAAAAACCTCTATTTACTATGCTAGCTAATTGAAAACAGTGTAAAAGTAGTCCTATTAAGTTTATTAGGAATTAAATTCTCTTATATGTTTTATAATTATCTAGTTAAATTTTTTGTGTGTTATCTCTGTACGGAGCTGACTGTATGTTAACCGCTTCGCTAACGAGCACTAAGACCCTAGTTTAAATGGTAACTTATAGGGTAACATTTAAAAATGCACAAAAAATTAAAAACACGCCTGTGCAAGTGTACAAAATTATAGAGAGAATAGCAAACCTGGTTGAATCTAATTATTAAAATTTGTTATCTCTAAATAAACTAATTCAACAAGAATTGCAATGTATAACGTAGCCGATTGTGTTAGATTTCATAAAGAGCCATGGCTGACTACTAAAACTGGAACTAAACTAAATAACTATTGAAATCAAAAATATTTTTAAATAATTAAATATTTAGTACTTCTTCAAACGGCGTAATTTATTTAAGTATCAATCTCTAGAGAACTTTAATAGCCACAAGATTAATTAATTAAAAAAATGTTATCATTTCATTCTCTTCCCACACTACCCACCCAGACATGTTACTAACGTCATAATAGATAATAGCGCTCATACCGAATATGCACAGACAACTTAATATATGCTTTGCAGGTTTTTGTGCTAACTTACGGTGAAATTGGCATAGATTTGATATCGATATCTGATAATTATTATCTATCTAAATATAGGATACTTATCAGTCCTATTGTAGCTAATATAGCAGTTGTTTATCTTTATATATTCATTAGTGAAATACGGTCACGCTCCGCTGTGACTCTCATTGCTAATTATGACATCGGGTTTACGTATATTCCCGTAGCAGCGGAAAAAATTGTTTTGCCCGCTACGGGCGCGATGTCGGAGGTGAACGATAATATGGGCTTACGCATTGTGCCCGCTTTTATCAAACAGCGAGAGGCTTAGGGGCTGCCTGTCTATTTTTAAATTAGGCTGTCGTTGTGACATAGTACGGGGATTCTATATGAGACCTTTTTTTTCCTACTTATGCTGATAGCCTTGAGAGGCTATTTTAGATTCTCCTTGACGTGTAGGTGAGCTCACAAGGCTGAAACCGGAGTGTTGCTAACACTGGCCCTAGCAAGAGCTGTGCTTCGCAGAATCTACCAACGGATCGGAAACGCGACCCACTGAGAAGATCCGACGAGAAACTCAGTGGGCTGTGTCTATGGGTTAATTTACTCGTTGAGCCCTTCGTCGCAAGCGACGGGTTCGGCGAGGTGACTTGTGCTTGAGGTACCTAAAAACACCGTTAATGGATCGTAATGACGTGTTTAGGGCGAGCGAGATCAGTCTCTGATTCTGAGAGTGACAAAATCTGTTGTCGGGGGTGCAGGGCACCAGCATGAGCAGTGCTACACCCGAGTACGGATATAATGATATTAACAGCTCCAAATCCTAAATGCGTTGATAGGTTTTCAGTCGAATACTGCCGGTAAAATTTTCGAAAAAAATAACGTAAATATCAATTAAAGTCAGTTTTATCCCGAATGATATCGCAAATTTAGTTGTACCTTTTCCTTTGATTTTATGCATACAATGTGCAATTGTTTTAACTTTTATGTAGGATTGTGTTTGTTAATAGATTTTAAGTACTAAATTTTTAAATAAAGACTGTTTGGTTGATACAGATTGTTACCAACTTTTTGGAATCCAATTTATAGGCATTAATTTATCGTAAGAGACTGTTTAATGTCCTGAATTAATAGCTAATTAAAATAAAAAGTTTCAGTAGAGTGTCAGCTGTGCTCACTGGGACTTTTTAGACGGTTTGAGTGTATTGAGACTATTGCGTCGATACGATAACGATCGTCTGATAAACTGAAAAAACATGTATCACACATACACTTCTCTGGATGGAAATCGGACACGCGGGCGGACTTTTCGGACGAATGGGCAAGCCTCAGTTGAGAGGCTAACAAAGATTTGGAGAGACCGCAGAATAACCAAAAACACAAAAGTTCGGTTAATGAGATGCCTGGTCTTTCCAATCTTTCTGTATGGGGCTGTGACGTGGACGCTGAGGATGCAAGACCGTCGTAAGATTGACGCACTGAAAATGTGGTGTTGGAGACGTCTCCTCAGAATTCCGTGGACCGCGCACCGTACCAACATTTCGATCCTGAAAGAGCTCAACATCAAGGAGAAACTATCGTCAACAGTCCAATTACGAATCCTCAAGTTCTTCGGGCACATCACTCGTAATGAGGACTCCATTGAGCAGTTGGTGGTGCAAGGGAAAGTCGAGGGCAAAAGATCTCGCGGACAATCTCCAACACGATGGACCGACCTCATAAAATCTGTGACTCACTCCATCATAAATGTTTGCTCTCACTCTGCGAAACATTGTGCCACATGGCGTCGCATCGCGAGAGCATCGATATCGCAGGATCCGACTGATGCATGACCACGACCACTCTGTCAAGAGTGTACGAATAAGAAGATAGGAAGGGCAAGCTAGGGACGCTCGGAGAGAGAGAGACAGCATTCTACGATGTCTTCTCGGTTCTCTATTGGTGGTAACATTACGAAAGAATTTTTATTATCGCATCGCGTTTTGTCTATATACTCTTAGAATTAGCCTTCCACTATTACGAATGAAAAATAATGTTGTGATTATATCGTACGATATAATAACATCATACATACCAATTCTTTGCTCTGGTTTTATCTTGTCTAAATATTAGTCATTTCTAAAATTTCTAGGGGAAATTTTATAAAGAAATATGTTGATTTAGGATTTCAGAGTCCTAATTACATACATATAAGTATGTAATAGGAGTGATGAGGCATTGTCTAGTAAAGTTATATTTATTTCAAGAAAAACGTGAAAAACATTATGTGTATGTACATTTATAGTAAAACCGTTACGTTTTTTGTGCTTTAAATGCCTTCATGCCATCTGTTTCACCAAAATCAAGAATCTGTCGCATGTTATTTACCCTATATTACTCAGGTTTCACACGCATATATCTAAAGATAAACAACAATATTAGATTAATTATTTTGTCTTGCTATAGTAATGATTTACGAAATAATTTAAGGAACACATACAGGCTGTTTGTTATCCACGATACCTGGCTGCTCCTGGCCTAGTGTGGATACCGTTAGTAATTATTGTAAATTTTTTGTTGATGAAAAATGTTGATTATTATAAATAATTAATGTGGCCCGATGTTTGTCCAAGATAAACTCCGAAACTAACTATTTTAAATTTAAGTTTTTTTTCTTCAAAATATGCACTTTGTTCAAATTTAAGTGAGTTATTATCTTAATTTATAATCAAATTTTGTTATTATTGTAAATTACTTGTTTAATATCTGATAAAGGATTATTATTGTCTATGAGCTCTATAAGCTTCTAATAGACGAAACTGTCTAACGTCTTTGAATAGACAAAAACGTCGTTTTTGTTTTATGCTTTAATTTGTATACGTATACGTACGTATGTTTTTAATTAAAATAGAACAGCCCCTCGGGATAATCGATATTTTATTTTTCTAAATTTATTAAAGAAGGAACAGTTGTTTTTAAATACAAATAAAGTATTACTTGAAAACAAAATACTGTTACACCGGTCAGAGTAACGCCATCTATCGCCGAATAGCCGAACGAACATCGTAGGATCTAGTAGCATCTAAAACGCTTGAAAGGTACAACGCCATCTATTGTCAGATAACGGAAACACACAATATTCGACTTCTGTGGAATATTCTCGACGATTCTAGGGATTTCGTCTCGATTATAAAAGCGTTGCAGAGATGGCACGCAGCCAGTCAGTAATCGGAACTACTCGAAGCGAAAGAAGCGAATTGAGATTTTTAAAGTGTTTGTGAAGTCTTCTAAGTGTTGAATACAGTTTTTAAGTAGTATTCCGGATAGAGCTTTTATTTATCCTGAACCCCAGCGCGTAGCAATACTAAAATAAAACGAGATTTTTTAAATATCACACATTCATTTATTTTCTCTTAAGCACAATGCGAGAACCAATCATGTGATAGATATATGTAGTAATATGTACATTTAATTTTTTTTTGTTTTAAAATTTTTTTAATCATTAGTTTTTCTACATAATAATACTTAATTGTAACTTGTTTCCATGATTAAAATAAAGATTTGTGGTTTACATACAACTTTGCTGCTTACTAGTTACACATACATATTTACATATTTTACACATGCGTAAAGTGTTGCACAGATACTTACTATACAGGTTTACTATACATTACTATGAAAATTGTTAAGAGAAAGGAATTTTCTTGTCATGTCAGTCGTAAATAGGGAAACCAAAAAACTCAGGATCATTGTCAAAATATTTAAAATTATTTCAACTGCAAGTATCTCGAGGGACAGAAACTTTTATTTTTGGTTATTTTTCTTCAATCCGCCTTTT